CAGTGTATGCCAGTACGGTTCTTAATCTCTCAACCAGCCTTTTGGGGCCCTTAAATTCACTCACTTCCACTATTTGCGGAAATTTTCTTTCCAAATCTTATGAATGCCCCCCTTTTTTTAACAAAAAACAAGTCATAGAGTACTCCTGCTAATTTTTTCTAAATTATCCACACCATAAAAAATTTCCAACCCCTCTTCCAGTACTGGTGATCCTTTTTGTCAGCATAGTTACTCCTTTTGCAACAACAGCATCCTTTTTTCCTTTTTTTCGGGCCACTTTGGAACTAATTTTGTGGGGTTTCTTATCTCCGGCAGTTGGGGCCACATTTTCCCATTTTCTTTTTTCAAGAGGGTTTTTTTTTAAAAATTCAATAATTTTTCTTCCCCTTCTTTACCACAGGTTTGGGAAACGGGAGCTTTCTTTGGACCCCATGGAGCTTATTTAGTCTTGCAAGCACTAAAAAAAATAAATATTATGAAATTTTTAACGGGAGCACGTGGGGGAAACCTTCACTCATGGTAAACAATGCAAACTGGCGCCGCCCCAGCTCACGCCTGGGCTGTCCCGGCACACACCGCGAGTAAAAACCCTATGAAAAGCGAGTCCAGTTCTATGAAAATACCCTGATTCAAATTTTACGTTTCCCCGGGAACTACAAAAGGGGGGGACCATGTTTTAAATGAATTTAAAAATATAATATAAAATTTTAAAATATTTTAAATATTTATTTTATAATATAAAAATATATATTTTTATATATATATATAAATCCCACAAATATGGCCCCGGGAAAAAAAAAAATTTCCTACAAGGAGGGAAAAAAAACAGGGGGGGTGTGCTAAACATCGTGGTCATAGGAGGGGCATTGATGACACCCTGCGGCTGAGCTTTTGATGTAAGGTACGGTCTCCTCGGAATGGTAAGCATCAAATAGAGTCGTTGCAGGTTTTCCATCATCCTGGGGCACGACATCGGGGCCCCTTTTGAGTGAGGGCTCGTCAAAATCAGCAACTGGGCGGATTTTTGGGAAGGGACCGGGATACATTTCTCGATGGTACGTCGCTGGTGTCACTGCCGGCAGCGTGGAGCGAGTTGTGGGCGAGTCAGGCAGGACACTGGGCGAAAAATGGGGGATTTAAACACATACACCAGACTGCAGTGAGCGAGCTAGCATCAAAGTGACATCACTTTGTGCAGGCTGTCACTGAAGCTTGACCAGGCGACAGCGCCTGCGACAGGGCTAACTGGGCTTTATGGTTCCCTTCTCTTTGGGATGGGTTATGCAGAGGTTTTTCTAAACCCCCAACTTGTTTCCCTTCAAAAACTGCATTCTGAAGGGCTGGGGGTGAATGAAACAAATCTCCTGGGGAAACGTACGGTACGATTCTGCAAACTCTATGACGAGAGCATAAGAGTTTTTGTCAAGGGGGCTCGGGCTCAGAGCTGACTGATAACAACTGTCAAACGCACTGGTCACACGGGTGACTTTGCACAGTGGTGCTACTCAGGTCTGGCTCAGACCTCGCTGGACACACGGAAACTACACACACCCGCGGTACATGCGGTACAACATGGCTTAAACTAGCAAATGATGCTTTTCTCTGCACAAAACTGACACTAAGCTATATACTAACATGTGAGAACACTGACTGAGAGGAATTATTTAACACACGACATATATCTTCTCTCAATCTTCTCGACAATACTGAAATAATTACTAGAAACACTCGATGTGACATGTGTGATGTCAGGCGTGATGTCACGAGGTGACGTCAGCAGACATATCGAGGTGGCATCAGGCAGACATCGTGACATCGTGAAGTTGGGCAGCATCGTTGGTGACGTCAGTGTGATGCGGGCAGCAGACCACAGCATGAGGCCTGGGACATCTGGTAACTCATGTGGTTTGTAGATCCACGTGACATCGCCCATACCCCATGTGGCGTCGGGATCCACGTGGCGTCATGATCTACTTGGCATGCTGATCCACATAGCTTCGAGTGACCTCGGGCACTCGGATACACAGCATTGGCAAAGAATTCACATGAAAAACAGCAGAAAACACAGCAGAGGGAGTGAGTAGTGGTGAGTGTATGGTAGTGTGGTGAGGTGTGAGAGTACAGCAGAGCGAGGCAAGGAACGGCCACTTCCTCCTCTCCCACAAACATGTGGAGAAACTCACACTGGATGCAGAAATCACCACAAAACTTACATCTGGCTTGCTGAAATGGCTGTGCTGAGCTGAACAACAACAGCAGCAACATACAAGTGATGCTGAACACGTGACTTGAGAAACAGTGTGGGACGCTGTAGCGTGGGGTCCCTGGGACACCACTTACAATTCTCAAAGAAATTCGTCAAATTTCGGCTAGATCCTGCTTGTAACTGTGTCTGGATGATCAAACGTGTAGACACAACATCAGGATAACTCGCTGAGAGACGGATGCGTCTTGCATGGAGTGATGAAGTGAAGATGACTTCATTCCTTCCTTCCTCTCTCCAGGCAAACACAACTGCTGCGACCACTGCTTCCCACCATTTATAACCAGTTTGTTTGGTGTTCTGGTAGCAGGGTGTAAATGATACGTCTTCGGAGGCTTCTTACTTTATTGTTAAGTCGTGGTGGGTACACAGGCTTGTGTGATGTGCCCATGGCCCGGGAGGGCCATCCCACGAGAGGAGCTAGGAGTAGGTCTTGTGTCTTCCTGTCAGGCCGCTGTGAGAGTGAGAGTGTGTGGGACCAGCTTCCCACAGACTTGGACAGGCCCAGAGGGCAGCACCTGAGTGGCGCGAAATATGAACTAAGCTGGCAGACAGCATGGGCTGTCTGTGCAGACAGTACAGGCTGTCTACAATAATAATAATAATAATGATATCTTTATTTACTACACGTACATGTACAAGGTATACAGGCCTAGCTGACATCAGTGACATACTACTATATAGAAAGCAGCTTGTTATGCAGAGTATTTCAAGAAAATTAGGTCAGTGTCCCAGGATAACACCCACACTAGTCGACTAACACCCAGGTACCCATTTACTGATGGGTAAACATAGACAACAGGTGTAAAGAAACACGCCTAATGTTTCTACCCTGGCTGGGAATCGAATATTTACCAAAAATCATATATGGCTAACCCAAGCCAAGTAGTACAAATAAGCCACGTTGACTTTTTTGGGTCATCCTAGGTTCTCTACACATATGCTGCTATGTGTGATAATCTGTATAGAGAAAATAACTTTTTTGTTTCAGGTTTATAGCGCAGTACGAGTGTATATCACAGTTAGCCCTGTGCTATACTCCATTTTCTCTAATATAAGCCTCCAAGACAGGGATAGGAGAATGGTATTTGCATACCATATCCTCTTCATACCTCCATCGAACTGCTCGATATTATGCCAAATATTATTCATTCTAGAGTATTTAACATGTTTTATGTTATTTATATTGTTTATTATGTCATATTAGATCAATTGTGATAGACAAATAAGCTGTAGTGTTGATATTAGCGTAATAACAAAGCATATTCTCCTGCTTCATGAGACTGAGCTCATGGCAACCGACAGTGGCTTCAAAGCCACCTTATCTTTAAAGGATAATGTACTGTGTAGGTGCTTTACATAATGAGAAGCATTTCTTTTATTCATTGGAACCATGGCTAGGGCTAAAAGTAAGCAGGTTATAACAATAAATGGAGAAAAAGAAATTGGAATGACTTATGCAGCAAGTAGCGCCACCAACCAGTACCAGCAGGTTGGTGTGGCGACCCTGGAAATTTGAAATTATGCTAGCCAAAAATAGTGCCGAATAACTGAAGGAACCGGATAACTGATTGCCGGATTTGTGATGGCGGACCTGTACATGTATGTGTAGTGTGACCTAAGTGTAAGTAGAAGTAGCAAGATGTACCTGAAATCTTGCATGTTTATGAACAGAAAAAAAAACACCAGCAATCCTAAACCATTATGTAAAACAATTACAGGTTTCGTTTTACACTCACTTGGCAGACATATTACCTCCCGGGGGGGGGTTGCTGTCACCAACCCACTACCTAAACCTATTAAATATCTCCTAAAATATGTCCCCACATTGTAAACTTTAAGGGAAATAAAAAATTTGAATTTGATATAAAGAATAAGTTTATAAACCCCTCTTCTTTACAAAATTTTACTTTTTTATTTTTCGAAAAATGCTTGGGGTCTCCAGGGGATTGGGGAGGGGGACGGCCAAAACCCTTAAAAGAAAGGGTTTATCTGAAAGGGGAGATCCTCTCTGGGGCACCAACTTGCTACCAATCCAAATCCAAAAAATGTAAGGGTTTTTTTTTTATTTTATGCATAAATGTAGTCTACTTGTACTGGGTATCCTTTTAGTTTTTTTTGTGTTCAGTTAGTAGGGCAAAGTTTTTGTTTATTGTTGTGGTAGAACATTTCCTCAGAAAGAAAGGATTCTTTTCAATCCCCAGGGGGAGGTAGGTGTATGGGCAAGGCTCCTTTTGTCTGCTCCCCTTTTTCACCAGGGTGTAGATACTTGATTTTGTTGGCTGTTGTGGGTCACATCTTCAGGGAGGACAAAAAGAAAATAAACGGCTCAAAATATGAAAAATCTTTCTGTAGACAATCTTAGGCATCATATAAGAAAGGTTACTGCTTTTAAAATGTAATTAACTGAAAAACTTTTTTTTTTTGCTTACATAGATTTTTAAATTTTAATGTTCTTGATTTTCATTACTGTACTTAGGGGCCCCCCCCAAATTTTCTATCAACACAAGGATGGGGTACGTATACGGTATTGAAATTTAAAGTGGCTTGCTTTTTTTAAATTTTGTGCAATTACAGGTTAAACAATGCCTTTCTTAAAACGGGGCAGATATTTTATCACAGCCAGCTATCGGCCCCAAGCATCAGGGGTTTTAAAAGATAATTTTGGGAAATTTCCCAGCGATGAAGCCAGAAAAAAATTTTGAATCTCTCTGTATCTTTGGGGCCCAGGGCAATCCAAGAATTTTCTTCAAAGCTCATGAACAAAGGTATGATTTTTTTTGAAAAAAAAATTGCATAAGGGGTGAAATAGGCTTTTTTTTAAACATAATAGAAATACCCTTAAAATTTTATTAGGCACAAACACGGGGGTTCCCAAAAAGTAAAAAAAAAATTAAAAACCTTTTTTAATTTTGGTTGTCCCGTCCATGCAGCCCTAAGTGAACTCAGAAATTTTCAGTAATTTCTTTAGCACTTTTTGCTTACCCTTCTCTCTGAATTCTTGTATTTTTTGTTGAGTTCTTTTTACTTGCAAAAAATACTCAATACATTTGGGCCCCCTTTTTAAACGGCGTTTTGTTTTAAATGGCATTCTGCTATTACGGTTTTTAAAATTTTTCCCAAAAAATCACTAAAAACGGCCCCCCCCCACCTGACTTCCTAATACGTCACTGCGCCCCCCCCTTTTTTTTACATTCTCTGTGGATCCGTTAAGCACAAAAGTCTCCCCCATTATGTCGGGAAACCCCAAAATTTTTTCAAGTGTTTTTTAAAATTTTTTAATTTTTCAAAATTTTTATTTAAAAAAAAACTCTTAAATAATTTTAAACTTTTAAACCTAAAAAAATTTTTTTTTTTAAACCTAAATTTAAATTTAAAACGGATACTTCTTGGCCTTCGGTACCATTAAAATCATTAAAAGTGTTAAATGTCTCGAGACATAAAATTTTAAAAATTTAAATAAAAATAATCACCAAGTTCATTTAAATATTGAAATTTTAAAGTTAAAAAAATACCCCTTTTCTTTAAATTTCATCTATGATTTTTTTTAAAAAATTTATTAATAAACACGATGCATAACAAAAAAGAGGAAAAATATACCCCAAAATAGAATAAAATAAACAAAAATTTTGAGATGTGGTAGCCAGAAAAACTTGTACAAGTGAGGGCAAAAAATAATTTTTTTCCCTCAAACCTAACATAAAGAAAATGTGTTTTACGGGGGGAACTGTAAAAATTATTCCTTTCATATGTTTTAAAGTTTTTCATTTAAACACAAAAAACATTTACAAGATTATCATACAAAACAGCATATGTTTTGAGAACCTAGGATAACCCAAAAAAGTCAGACAGAATGACTTATTTCCATTGCCTTCACTCAGAGTGTTATTTCTTCTAAAAATGGTGTTACATGAGAATGGGAGTGTTCTTCTTTATTTATTCTACCGTATCAATGTAGAGACAACTTGTACACATTGTAACTTGTACACAAACCAGACATGTACGCTTTGTTTGTTTACAAAACTTACGTTCGCCTGGTTTGTTTACATAACTCTGCACCTGTCCTCTCTCATGTACTCATTCTCTCTCTCTCTCTCTCATTTATTCATTTTATCTCGTTTACTCACTCCTGACCCTACATTAAGACTACAGATATTTTAAGGTAAGTAATGCATGAACTGTATATGCATTTTATCATTCTGGGATGCTTAAATATCATAGAATAGTATGTGTGGATGGAATGGCCTAGTATGGTAGCCTGGCTGGCTACCATACATACCACACTTGATTTCTTACAATAAATACTACTTGTCCCACCCTAGATTAAGACTATAAATATTTTAAGGTAAGTAATGAATAAACTGTATATGCATTTTATCGCTCTGGGATGCTTAAATGTAATAAAATATTATGTGTAGGTGGGGTGGCTTGGTATGGTAGCCTGGCTGACTACCATACATACCACACTTGATTTCTTACAATAAATACTACTTGTCTCACCCTAGATTAAGACTATAAATATTTTAAGGTAAGTAATGAGTGCACTATGTGTGTATTGTACTTTTTTATTGTTTTTTGATGCCTAGTTTTATTGCTAATTTAATATATGTTAGTGTAAACTTGTTATATAGTATTCGTATGCATTTATAAGGGAAAAAAAGGGTGTTCCACTTTACGGCGCTTTCCGCTTTACGGCGGTAGCCTGGAACCGAACCTGCCGTATAAGTGGGGCCCTACTGTATGTTATTTTATGACTTCATGGGAAATGAACCTATTAGCACTTTACTCTGAATGTATATTAGTGTTACTTTATATCATAATTGCTATACAGGATGGCCTCGCTTTACAGCGCTTCACTTTATGGCATTTCTCTAATATGGACATTTCAAATTATGACCAAAATTTGTTCATATGGCTCCCTCCCTGATTTGCTATTATGGCGTCCATGTACCAATCTGCTTACATCCTCCGTGAGCTCCGTGTGTCTCTATAATGTCTAGAAACTTTCCCAGATTTCAAGTGCTTTAAAGTTATTGCATATTTTATATATACATAGTATTCTGATAATTATACTTATGTGTACCTGTAGCTAAATAAACTTACACACTGTACTGGCATGCAGATACACATTAAAATCACTAAGGATATCACACTAGTAATACAGTTGTACCTTGACTTATGAGTTTAATTTGTTCCGTGACCAAGCTTGTAACTCAATTTACTTGTATGTCAAATCAATTTTCATCATTGAAATTAACTGAAATGCCATTAATCCATTCCAGCCCCCAAAAAAACCACCCCAGGGGCAGGAGAAAATACTTCAATATAATGCTAATGTCAACTCTACGGCTTATTTATCTATCAGAATTGATCTAATATGACATAGTAAACACTATAAGTAACATAGAAACACTATAAGTAACATAAAAACATGATAAATAATACTCTAGAATGAATAAAATAGGCCATAATATGGCAAGTGTCCAAGACCAGTCCGAGCATGTAAAATCATTACTGCTCCTTCCTATAACGTGTTCTTTGGTCCTGGGTAAGAGAAAACAGAATTTTTGAGAGGCTGACTGCACTAGATCACTAGTACAGTGATATATGAATATCTTGGAAGTAAGTTATTGACTTATTTCATGAAGCCGACCATTTATTATTGAAGTAAATGCAATAATATTGACAGGAATCATAAAACAATGATTGTTCTACAATTGGCTTGTGGAATATTGGAAATATTTCGAATATTTTGGGATTTGTGTGAGAGTAAAGGGCAAGATATTTTGCAAATGTCAAAAACTTAGCAACTTTATTTTTTGTAGAATAACTGAAGATAATTATATGATTACCTCCAGTGAGAACATTGCACTAGCATTGTTTTATAAGTACCAAGTCCCAGAACCACCTTTCGTTGTGCCATTTAGCCTGGGGTTCTTGCCAGATGTCATTTTCAGTAAATATTTTTTTTTTTTGCTCATAACTTGGATTTTGGCTTGCAACTTGAAGCAAAAAAATCGATCAAGCAACAGCTCGTAACTCGGAAAACTTGTAAGTTGGGCACTCGTAAGTCAAGGTACAGTGGTACCTTGACTTACGAGCATTTTATGCTAATATAGACATTTTCATTAATCCATCCATGATATTTTTTTCTAAATTATATAGGAAACATGTTACATAACATAAACATAATACACCCACAGTAGAGCAAATTGACATAAATATGAGATGTGGTTGCCAGGCAGCTTGTAGGGGTGATGGAAAGAATTGAACTTTCTGAAGTCCAACTCCAGAGAAAATATGTACACAATAGTATTACTGGGGGTAATTACAGAAAATTATTCCTTTTGTATGCCTTCACTCATAGCATCAGTTGCTCTAAAAATGGTGTGTTGCATGAGAATGGGAATGTTGCTGTGTATTTATACTATTGCACCAACGTGAAGACAACTTGTACACAATGTAAGGTGTTTGTTTTGTGGTAAAAGCTTCACAAATGTATGCGAAATGAATGTGTATGAACCGTAAATGGACAGGAATTAATATGTATTTGTTTGTTTACATTTTCCATGTCTCTTGTTTATGATATGTCGGTAGTAATAATAATAATAATAATAATAATAATAATAATAATAATAATAATAATTGCTCTGGGGCACTTTAAATGTATATCTGTGTGGGAGTGGTAGCCGAGTGAGTTACCCCACCTGACTGTCACATTTCCAGATGTTACAGACCTTCTCCCAGCTGGGAAGAGAGGGGGAATGTGCAGCCCCCACCTATGCCTACTGAAGCCAGGTGCCACACTTAGATACTCGTAATTTGTAAGATTTAAACAACCCACATGCTAATGTATTATACACTACCACTTATATGTACGTATTTAACCCTTTGAGGGTTGGTCACATACAAGTACGTCATTGCAGCCAGGGTCGGTCACGTATTTGTATGCCTAAATTCTAGTGCCTTCAAATCTGGTGGAAGAAAGCTGGCAGGCCTACTTGTGAAAGAATGGGTCTGTGTGGTCAGTGTGCATAGTATAAAAAACTCGTGAAGCACGCTGTGCATAATGAGAAAAAAAACTTCGACTGTGTTTTTGGTTTAAAACAGCGACTTTCTAGTGAATTTTTGTATGGTATTTATGGTTGTATTCTCGTTTCCTTGGTCTCATTTGATAGAATGGAAGATATATTACAGAATTAGAGATGATTTTGATTGGTCTCATGATGACAAGTACCTTGAAATTGAGCTCAAAGTAGCGAAAATTATCGATTTTTGCCGATATTCAAGAGTAAACAAATAAAGCCACACGTCCAATACATGTCAACTGGTGAGTCTAATATTCTTTCATAAGTGTGCTGATATCATTTATACTGTTTTTACAATGATGCAATAGTATACATAACAGAAAACTTTCTATTTTCTGTGAGAATAAAAAATCAAAATGGAAAGCAAAAGTAATGTAAAAGGGGCCTAGAAACGTGACTAATGAACAAATAAAATGTTATTTTAGTGCCATGAATGTCTGTCTTGTTTATTTTGGACCCTATTTTGAAATTGGCATCTTCTGAAATTTGTGTGAAATTACCCAAATTGCCAATTTCTGATCACTTTATTGGGTAGTTAAAATTGGTAAATGGGTGGATTCTTGTGCTCAATCGATAGAACAAATGGAATTCTAGGGAAATAGCTATGATTTTAGTCAACTGCAACATTGGAATTGGCCAAAAATAGGGCCCAAAGTGGGCAAAATTGCCAACTTTGAGAC